ATATCTTTCCTTCACTCGTCTTGCAATATCCACGATTCCCTCTTTTTTTTTTTCTGATCTCTGCCTGCCTCTAAATAAAGGAAGCAAGAAGCGTGTATGAGTGTATGTGATTTCACCGTTGTGCTATATGAGATACATGTGTGTTTGTGTGGCTTTTGTGGCGTGTGTGTGACAGAGGTTATGCGACTGAAGTGTAACCGCTCTTAACCCATGGGAATGATGTCAACAGCACACAAATAAACCCCATTACATAAGTTCAAATAAGCTCCATGCCTGCCAAAGAAAGACTGGACCGCATCCATAAAGAAGTGTGAGATAGACAGAGAGAAGGAGAAGACAGGGACATTGGGAGGGAGAGAGGGAGTTAATCCTGGAGCGTTATCTCGCCGTGCTGGTGAATTCCCTGGCTGGAATGCATGTCCGTATTGCACTGCCTCTTATGAGCAGGACCATGAAGGGCATTTCATTTACACGTTCATCTTTCGCTCGCTCTCTCCGTCAACCTGGCTTTCTTCTCTTCTTCCGTCCATCTCCTTCAGTATAACAAAATGCTTTTTACACAAAAGCACAGTGAATGGAAGGCCATATTCACTTTTTACTAACAGTTGTCAGTGTTTTATTCAAATCTGGGGAAGGTGTTATCAGGAAATAAGTGAACGGTTCTCAATCCATTCTCAATGTTACTGTATTTAAATCCATTTCAAATCCATTTAGCCTCAAAATGAGTGCAGAAAATGCAAAAACTGGGTACTGTGTCTCATCTATGAATGATTTCATCAAAAATATTGTGCTTTTATTTCTTTCTCGTTCTGTGTGTAGTGATGAAGATATGCAGAGTCTGGCCAGTCTGATGAGCATGAAGCAGGCTGATATTGGTAATCTGGATGATTTTGAGGAAGAGAATGAGGAAGATGAGGAGAACAGAGTGAACCAGGAGGAGAAGGCCGCCAAGATCACAGGTGAGACTTTGCACCTTTGCAGGTGAATCTGATGTTTCTATACATGCATAAGACCACCACAGGGCTGCAGTTTGTAATGTCTGTTTGTAAACGGTTCTATTTCTTGATCTGTTCAGTTTTATTTTGATTTCTCCATTATTTTTTTCTGTTTCTTTTTTCATAGTTATTCTATTCTTTTGTTATTTTCTGTTCTGTTTCTTGGTTCTATTCTATAAAAAAAATTTCTGTTATTCTTTTGTTTCTTTTTTTATTAAATCTTTTGTTTTTATTCTGTTATTCTAAATGTTTTTTTCTTTTCAGTTTTATTTATTATTATTATTATTTATTTTATTCTGTTTGTTTTGTTTTTCATTTTATTTTTATTCTGCTGGTAGGTGTCGAAACCATCCACCATCATACTCACTCAATTTTGCTCGTAAAGCCATTTTGATCGATTTATTTTGCGCTTCCACACTTCCGCTCGATTGAGGTCTATACGGAATATGGAATTTTTGTTTCACGCCCAGAATTTTCATACAGGATTTCAAAACCTTCCCTGTAATATGAGTTCCTTTGACACTGTCCAGTGACTCAAAAATTCCCCACCTGGGAAAAATCTCTCTGAGCAAAACTTCGGCAACCTTTTCAGCTGTAGCTGTACGTAGCGGAAAAGCCTCTACACATCGTGATAATTTACAGACAATGACGAGTACATATTTATACCCGTGATCGGAGAGTAGAGAAATTAAATCCAATTGCAAATGTGTAAAAGGTCCTCGAGGACGAGGACTGTGTCCAATTGGGATTTTGCCCTTCTCTCCTTACCATCTCTTGAATCCGTAAAAGCAGTCTTCATCTTTAGCCACCACCATGTCTTGGGTTTGTCCTATGGCATGTCTTAAAGACCTGCATGAGTAAAAACTACGATATAGACATATTAGTTCAATATCATCACAGCCTCATACATTCAGGTATTCATCATAAAGCTGATCCCCAAATTTTTTATACAGTTTTAAGCAACCAACTTCATGATCCTGTTATAAATTAAAGGGGTCATATGATGCTATTTCAATTTTTCCTTTATCTTTGGAGTGTTACAAGCTCTTGGTGCATAAAGAAGATCTGTAAAGTTGCAAAGACTAAAGTCTCAAATCCAAAGAGATATTCTTTATAAAAGTTAAGAGTCAACCACGCCTACCTAAAACAGCTCGTTCTAACATGCCCCCACATGTCTACGTCACGATGTGGGAAGGCTTTCACCGTGGACGAAGCGGAGTCCAGCCCGGGGTCGTCACATGTGGTTGCCGCAAGCCCGCTGGCCGCCGGCCACTGCTCACTCAGTGTAAGTCATTATAATCCGTAATTATGTCCCCCCACTGGATGCAACAAATGCCTCGTTTATAATGGGTTTTAATGTTTTTGTCTCGTCACTCCGGCCGGGACACGGCATCACAATATGGTAAGGGGCGTAACATTTCCGTCACACGCTTGAGGTATTCGGCCAATCACAATGCACTGGATAGCTGGCCAATCAGAGCACACCTCGCATTTCAGACCGATGAGCTTTGTAAAAATCGACGCGTTTCAGAAAGGCGGGGCATAGAGGAGAAACAATAATGTACAGTACGTGGAAAATAATGTGTTTTTTGAACCTTAAACCGCATAAACACATTTCATTACACCAAATACACAAAATAATGTTCTTTTTAGCAACATCATATGACCCCTTTAAGAAATGTTGTTATGGTCTCACTGGAAAAATGGCTGTCATCACATGGTCTCAGATGGTTCTTGAAAGCCCATTGCCATTAACTCTTTATAAATAAGCTCCTTTTCCTCAGGGTGTGACTGACAGACAGACTGAGGCAGACTGTCTGCTGTAACTTTTTACAGTTCCCCCTTTAACGATGCTTTAGGCCTATCAAGCATCCGCTCATCTCCGCTACCATCTCACATATAACACCTCCCTTCTGGGCAGGTGCCCAGTGACGGGGACCCCCTGCCTTAGGTTGCCCTCCGCTTGGCCAAAAGAGGATCTTACCTGTCAACAGTGTACCCGTCAACTTACCTGTTCAACAGTGGTGTTAAATCAGGTGTTCTGACCCAAATATGTTACTCGTTTACAACAAATCAGCTCATATACAAACATAATTTTCCACTGGAAATTGGCATTTGGCTGTGATGCTGAGTGGCAGAATTTATTATTTTTTTAATCTAACAGTAAAATTTGTCTTTTGTTTACAGCTTTAGCCAGAGTCATGGTGGAGGCCAGAACGCAATAAACAAACTCTTTCATTGCAGTCAAACGCAATCGTATCTTCTGAAAACAAAACATAAGTTCTAAGTTTTCCCAAAATGCTACTAAATGCTACTGTGTGCCTACACAGTGTTTCCACCAACCCAGAATTCAGTCCAATACATTATCCGAGCTTGCAACGATAATATTGGGACTGGAACATATTTATGATGTCATTCTTTGTCATTTAAACCTTCTATGCACAAATAATCAGATTAAATCATCACTCAGTTATTTCTGGGATTATTTTGATCAGATCGTCACTTTACACATCTAAAAATAGGCGTGTACATTTAGAAATTTGTATCTTTCTGGTTCTTTGTTTGAGACCATAAATTTGGCCAATTTTCAGAGAAATATTGCATCACTGAAGAATCAGTGGATTCTTCCACAGTTCGAATCACAGCATTCTAGGAATTCCAGCCTCATTGAGTATTGATATGGGTGTGGACAATGAGGGATCCATTAGCTGCCCTCTTGTCAACAATATGTCAGCTTCAATCTGATTTAGTATGTCAAGACTCATAAACGGTTTACCCATAAACCCCAAAAAAATCAGAATTAGTGCAGTTTGATTTCATAAAAAAGCGTTTACAATGCTGCTCAGATCTCTGACACCCATCGACCTATACACCCCCACTCGACCAGTCGCTGTTGACTCCTCTTATCCTGGACTCAGTTGTCCAGCAGTTGGCTCGGTTTTCTTTTCATTATCAATGTCACCATATTGTGGTAGTTTTGTGTATAATTTCACATATTCACCCCACTCAGCCTCAGCTTTCTCCAAACTGACAGGAGAAATTGCCGCAACCTGAATACCTCCATTAGCAGAAGTATCAGTGAAATCCTTTCCAGCTTTTCCAATTGCTCTTTTTAACTGTGAAGCATATTCCTGCCATTGAAAAATATCTTCAACTTTTGGACTTTTCCCAACAGCTGATTTGGCTCATTAGTTACAATAGATAACAAGTCCCACACGTCTTGTGTGGCATCTTTCGCAGCTTGTGCCAACTCACTTACATTTAACCCTGTTCCACTCCTATCTGTCAAAAACTCCCTTTTGCCTGAGCAATCCACATACAGCTTCTTACTATCACTGACTTCCTTCATCAACCAGTCACTCTGTCTACGCGGTCCCCACATTTCCTTAAATCCATCTTTTATCATCTTTTGTATCATTTTCTCTTTCTCTCCCAAGCCAGTTCTTGCCATCTAGGCAGTCAGAGACTCAGTAGGACCTCCTCTAGTCAATGTATAAGCCATTAATCCGTATGCTGACACCTCCAACAGAAATAACAGAAATAGGTAGAGTTATTCTACTCCTTTTTTTTCTACTTAACTTTACGTTACTTTACTTTTATTAACTTCTTTCTTTTAATCTTTTTTAGATCACCGTCTGACACTTACAGGTGCATCTCAATAAATTAGAATGTCGTGGAAAAGTTCATTTATTTCAGTAATTCA